TTACAAATTCGAATCAATTATTTTTGTCTTTTTGTTTAACAGAAAAAAAACAAATTACCATTGTTTTAAAAAAGAATACTTGTTTTGTAATTTGTGTTACTTCAACTCCCACCATTACAAATTCGGAATCAATTATTATTTTTGTCTTTTTGTTTAACAGAAAAAAAACAAATTACCATTGTTTTAAAAAAGAATACTTGTTTTGTAATTTGTGTTACTTCAACTTTTTCTTTCTTTTTTTTTTTTTTTTTTTTCTCCCAACACCAACGGTTGTTTGGGTTCAATGGTCGCGTTACCCTATTCAGGCTTTCAATAAATTAGTAAAGAGACTCTTGGAGTCAAATTCTACAAGAGTGGGATATTAATGGAACTTTACTTTTTTCAATCATTTATGCTTTTGAGACAGAAAAGTTACACAATAATTGAGACTTTACCTGAATAATTGAAGACATATATTTATAATACATGTCACAATTAAAATTTCACATCTTTTTTAAAAAATTATTTTTATATTATATTTAGATTTAATTAAATTTCAAAACAAATTAATAGTAAAATTATTTTTTAAATTAATATTTTTTAATCATTTTTTTGTTTTATAATTATTTAAATAATAAATTTATATTAAATATTATTTTAAAAAATTTTAACCTTACAAAAATTTATATTAAATATTATTTTAAAAAATTTTAACCTTACAAAAATAATTGCTAAAATTTTTTTTCCAAATTAATATTTCATTATCATTTTACTTGTAATTATCAAGAAAAGAAATAATGGCTTTAGGAGCAAACATGGCATTACTTTACCATCGCCTAAATTTTGTATTTTACATACAATAAATTGTTTTTAAGAATTGCCATGATTACTATTATAATAAAGGAGGGGAAAAAGAAAAAGACTCAAAGTGATTCTTATCTCCTATGCTCAAAAGAAAAGGACTTGTTCATTTGTTTTGTGTTGCGTGTCATCGTGGCCTTAATTTAGTCACAATGCTTTGGTCTTTCCGTTTCTTTATTTTTTTTTTCTTTTTATTAGTAATATTTCTAATACATCATTTATATTAACTCGGGAATAGATTAAAGGAAAAAATAAATAAATTGTTCTCTAAATTATAGCCAAAATTATTAATATATAATGCATTATATTATATTATTTTTTATTTTAATATGTTATATTGCATTATATTATATTATTTAATGATATACTTTTTTAATATCGTTATATATATAAGAAAAATTATAATTAATTTTGCTTGGTTATAAATAATATATAGTTGTTTTATTATTTCTAAATGTATTATAACGTTTTTGTATAATAATATATAGTTGTTTATTATTTCTAAATTATTATAAATAAAATTATTACATAATATTGTTAGTTAGTTTTCAAATAATACAATTTAAACTTACATTGAAAAGCATATATGCTATCAAATACTAATTTTCTATCTTTATTATTTTGTATAAAAGCTTAAAAGAACTCTTTCCATATGATTAATTCACATTTTACTTATCATTTTAAGTTTTTATATTTTTTTTTTATGTTCTGAATTTGTCTTTCTATTGTTCATTGCGTTTTTAAATGAAAGTTTTTTTTTTTTTTTTCCATTTTCAAGTCATTGTAAAAGATAAATTTTGTATCTTTATTTGATTTTTTCGCTCTATATTATTTAGAAATTATGATATTTCACTTTTATTTCATAATATATTCTTTAGATTAAATTAATAATTATTACATCCGTTTCATAATATTCGTCACATTTGCAAAAATAGTTTCCTTTAAAATACTTGTCACATTTATAGTCTTAAATAATAATAAATTTTTTTTTCATATTTACCTTTTTTATATGACCAATAATTATTACTTTAATTTCATAGTTTTTTTGGAGAATTAAAATTAAGGATAATAAAATCAATTTACTTAATAATTTATTGTAACTTAAATAAATTTAATATTTTTTTTAAAGAATATAAAATTTTAAATGTGATAAATATAATAAAATATAATAATTTATTTCTTTTTAAAAACAATTTAATTTATTATTTTCATATATTGCTTCGAGAATTTACTAAGTTGAGTTTAAGAGTGTCATCATGCTTAGAGTCAATGTGTACGAAGAAATAAATGAGAAATATATATTAATTTTAGACTAAAAAAAGACAATAATGTAAAGAGAGAGCATTATAACAGAGCGCACACATATATATATATACATATCAAGTCTTCTCTTTTCAAAAATAGATTGTTATACATCCTCTTTTTTTTTTTTTTTTTTTTTTTTTTTTTTTTTTTTTTACATACGTACTCTGTATAAGTAACATTCCTCTCTTATTCTTTTATTTATTTTTTTTCTCCTTTTTTTTTATTTCTTTGCATTTATTGTTTTAATTATACATACGCTTATACCCAAAACTCTAACAATCTCCAGGCTATTTATCAGCATGGCATAATATAGACATTGCGGATCACTGAACAACTTGTCTGGATGATCTGTTACCTATATTTGTTGTAAATGCTGAGTGAACATTCTGCCACTATAAATTTTTCAATTAAGCAATGAGACAATACAAATATCTTACGACGTCTCGCAATATATTTAACATAATAAGATATAGCATTTGTTCTGGTGTTTTTTAATAGGCCTAACATAATTATTTTTTTTTTTTTTTTTTTTTTTTTTTTTTTTTTTTTTTGCATTTGTTAAACTAGATTTATGGCAATTAGAGCGCTCTGAACTTTGTGGATGATCTATTACATATTTGTGGAAATTTTGATAACATTGCATATATTTTCATAGTAATAACAATAATTTTTAAAGTTTGATATTTTACATATAAAATATTGATTTGATATATAGTTAACATAATTTTTAGAATAATAATTTTTATAATATTTAGTTATGTAATAGGTGTTTAATTAGTCTAATTAGTATTTAATATGTATAATTTTATAAGTTGATATATTTGACGGATAAAAATAAAAGTTGAAAAGCTGCTATAAAATTAAAGTAACAAAATTTAAGGATAAATTTATGTATTTTACGTTTAATTATAGTTAAGGATTTAAAAAATTAAAAGATAATAAAACTTGACCTTGACTTAGTTTCCTTTTTTTCTTTTTTTTTTTTTCTCCTAACTGAGTCTATTTGGTTGAAAAGGATGAAAGTTCCTTTCTTTTTGATTGATAAGGATCAAAGTTCCTTTCTTTTAGTATATACGGGGACCATAGAGGACTTGCCATTGACTCTCTGAGGCTGTATAAATTTAGGAGTAACAGAAACAGCCATCCAAAGAAGAAAGAATGTGTAGTAAACTTTCAGGGAGGGCTTTACTTATTCCCATTCTTACTTTCCTTCTTCAATGGCAACTTGTTCATGGAGCTGATAAACCTTATATTACTAGAAACCAGAAAGCAGTTGCCGTTAATAACTATCCTTACTGTAAAAGTGGTAGACCTTATTCTTCCTGTCAATGTCCCCCCTATAAACTTACTTGTAATAGCGGTAAACTTCTATAAACACAATTTTCAAACTCTTTTCTTTTCTTTTCTTTTCTTTCAAGAATTAGCTAATTTCATTGTTACTTGTTTGGATTAACATTAATTCTGTCTACAGTTTATAGTGGTGGAACATCTAGAAGGGAATATTGTGACAGAAACCAAGCTCTGCCTTGTGACGAGTGTAAGCTTCCATACCCACATTTAACTCTCTCTTTTCTTTCAAGAATCAGTGCTAATCGTTTTTTTGTTTTCTCCTTTCTGTTCAAATTGAAGAATATGAATTTTACAACATCTCCTCCTCTTTACTTTCCATATGAAATACTACGCTGTCAATCGTTTTTTTTGTTTTCCTCCCTTTCTGTTTTCAAATTGGAGAATCTGCAAAATACACTGCTTTGTGCTTAACTTTTCCTATTGAGTGTCTTGAATGTTAAATATGTTTTATCTTGAGGACCATACTTTTAGACTGAGTGGTGGCTTATATAGGCTTGCAAAAACTCTATTTGCTATCTATTTGCAAATCCAAGAACGGAGTTTAGGAGCGTCACATACTATCATATGTTTCCACGAGCTGTCACAAATAGCAGAACCCGTTGTTGGACTGCGTCCTCGCAAATCTTGTGCGGAGATGCTTACATAGGTGTGATTGCAAGTAAATTCTAACGGACACAGGAAGGATAGTGGCATAGTAATCATTCACGGTGTGCCAACTATCCCGCAAATGTATGTATGTATGTATGATAATTGTCCGCGTAATGCAATAATTAGTTGATCTGAATGTTGGACAACAAGAGGCCCTATACTTGTGCTGCCTCTCCCTGAACTTTGCTGGCAGAGTGGTATGTTTCAATCCTGAAGCTCTATACACTTGGTCTCTATATTTTCAGTAGATAATTATAGTCTTCGTTAAAGATGAAATTTGAATCATTCTAAATATGTTAAAGTACTATGATAGACCTGAATATATTTTTCCACATTCAATTGTGACAGTTCATAAAAATGAGCCGTTCGCTCGCTGAGTGGTTATATGGCGCTGGCTGTGCATCTAAAGGGTGCTTCCACAACTTGCAAATCGTCCGCTGCTACAAACTCCCAATGTGTCCTCGTGCTTCTTCTTCTTTAAATGAAAAAAATCTACGGCACGCCCGTTGCGCCTCCCTCGGTTATAGCAAACGCAGTTATTAGATTTATCACTAATTTCCTTATTTTGGTTTTTGGTATTTAAAAATTTCAGTGGTAAGTCTTTCCTCCAATCAGCTGTATATCTTTTTATAAATATAGCAAACAGTATGACACTAATTCTCTATTGTTTGATTAAAATTCAGGGATCTTTCCTCCAATCAGCTGACTGGATCCCTACCACAAAGCACGGGAAATTTAACTAGTTTGACAGAGCTGTAAGTATAATCAACTTGTAAATTCTTTAATCTTCACATGAATAGTTTAATTGTCTTCAACAAAATGCATTCAATATTACTTTACTACTGAAACAAACAAATATGGATGATGCAATAAGTGGGCTTCAACACTTGCAAATTCTGTAAACTCCCATCTAGTTTCTTTTTATAAATATAGGAGCAAACAGTATGACACTAATTCTCTATTTTTTGATTAAAATTCAGGGATCTTTCCTTCAATCAGTTGACTGGATCCCTACCACAAAACATGGGAAATTTAACTAGTTTGACAAAGCTGTAAGAATAATCAACTTGCAAATTCTTTAATCTTGACATGAATAGTTTAATTGTCTTCAACAAAATACATTCAGTATTACTTTACTTCTGAAACAACCAAATATGCCATTTGTGATTCTATTTGATCAGCGATCTAGAGAACAATCAGCTTGAAGGTACTATTCCCAGTAGCTTTCAAGCTTTAAATTCACTTGAGTATTTGTAAGTTAATCAATTACGTAACGTCTGTAATTTTATTTTGACTGTGTGATTATATATATTAAGTTGAGTTTTGTGCAATTAGGGATCTTTCAAGCAATTTCTTGAATGGTCCAATGACTGGATTGGGCAATCTGCAAAATTTGATTCGAATGTGAGTACTTCCCTTATTGCTATAGAATTATTTCAGTACATCAAATGAATTTGCGCTTATAACTGCTGTTGAAAAACTCCATGCAACAGGTATTTGGAGTTCAACTTCCTGAATCAATCCATACCTGAATCATTTGGTAACCTCAAATCGCTGAAGACATTGTAAGTCATTTAAAATTTTTACATGAAAATTAAGAAAACAATTAATTCTTTTAAATTATAATTAAATTATCTTTTATCTCAAATCAAGAGTAACTGAGTAAAGGTGATTATTGTACATAATGTAAATATGAGTAATATTGGAAATTTATCATTTATTACTCGTTAAAAATACTCAAAACAATTTATATTTTGAAACAAAATAATCACCCAAAAACAATTTATATTTAATGTTATAGACTATATGCTGTATACTAAAAAAAAAAATAATAATAATAATAAAAAACAGGTCTGCGTATGACAATGAACTCACGGGTCCACTTCCTGAAGCACTTGGAAAATTGAACAATATTACAAGTTTGTAAGTTTCATTTAATTTTATTTATTTTTCGTCTTTTTTTTATTCTTCACACATCACAAGCAAGATAACATGTATCGTTAATAGACTCATTAATACTTCGTACACTCATGTCACCACTTCTCATTGTGAGTTATTGCATTGGAAAAACTTTTATACAATTATTCTTATTACTCAGGGTTCAATAAGAAAACTTACATACAAAACAATTTACTTCATTTTTGAATACAAAATAATCAATCCACGAAAACAATCTGTATATTGAATGTTACTATTACATATACTCGACTTGCAAAGTGACCACGTTATTTTACTTAATAAATACAAACCTCAATTATTAATGCAATACATAAAAAACTAAAGAAGATCTTGCGCCATTATCATTAATCCCGCTGGCAAACTCACGGACATTAAGTCTATAGAACAATGTTAACTCACCACGGGTCCACTTCCCTGAAGCACTTTTTGCGATTACAAACTGGTGAACAAGTAAGTCTACAAAGTATTGTAAGTTCATTTAAATGACAATGAACTCACGGGTCCACTTCCTGAAGCACTTGGAAAATTGAACAATATTACAAGTTTGTAAGTTTCATTTAATTTTATTTATTTTTCGTCTTTTTTTTATTATGAAAAGGTATATTTTTCTTCTTATGAACTAATTCTAAATGTCATTAAAATCGACAGAGTTGCTACAGGTTTTTTAATTATTAAATTAGTCAAATTGATTACTAACTCAGTTTCATGATACTTTTCATATTTATGGGTTTCAAAGGGTAATAAATATTTTTTCATATTTACCCTTCCTTTGTATATGAATAATAATTATTACTTCAATTTAATGGTTTTCTTAGAGAATTAGTATTAAATTAAGGGTAATATAGTTAATTTACTCCATAATTTATTGTAACTTAGACAAATTTAATGATTTTCTTAAAAGACGTGAAATTTCAAATGTGACAAGTATTATAGAACAGAGATAGTATCCACTGAATTTACAAATTACTTTTTAATGTATTATAGTTACTCTTTAACTAAAACTTTATGATTGCAGCCGGTTGAATTCCAATTATCTTACTGGTAAAATTCCACAAAGTTATTCCCAACTTACTGGACTTGAAACCTTGTAAGTCATTCCTATCATTATTATTTAGTTTTTTATGCAATAAATGGCATAAATAATTGTTTATAACTTTCTTTATTTTATTTTTTAAAGTCAGACTTCAAAAAGAAATTTTGTATTTCTAAGGAATTTCTTGATGTGAATTTGCTAATATATTTCAAGTTCCCAAATTGATCAATGCAATGCAGTGAGGTAGCTGGAAATTATTTGTCTGGCCCTATACACGATTACATTGCAAACTGGAAGAACCTCAGTTATCTGTAAGATTTCTTAAGAATTTATTTTGATACAAATAAAAGTTCTTTAAAATTTTAGGGGATATAATATGTTTTTTTTTTTTTTTTTTTTGTATTTTACTTTTACTATTAAAACTAAAAATTAAAGAATTAGAATGTTGTTTGTACCATTACAAACTTGTCAGGAATCTTCTGGGAAATAATTTTGAAGGGAATCTACCAGAAGGGATTTTCAAGCTTCCAGATCTTACGAAATTGTATGTGCAGTTAAATGACAATTATTTTTCTAATTTCATTTCAAGAAACAGTTGAAGCGCTGTCGTTTTCTAGTTAAAGCTTTCTAAGAAGTGGTTGAATGATTTCAGGTGGGTTAGTGGCTTAAGGAATCCTGGTTTTGCTTTCCCCAAACAAGCGGACTTGATGACGAACATAAGTTCTTTGTGAGTATTTCTGTATACATATATTGTCCCAATGTATTAACAACTTATTAAATTTTGCATTTTGTTGCAATTGGTGAAGGATTGGTCAAAATTTCCTTTTTTTTTTTTTTTTTTTTTTTTTTTTTTTTTTTTTTTTTTTTTCAAGGATAGTTATTTTTATCATTAAGTGAAGAATTAAACAATAATGTAATACTGCCTCCGTTTCAAAAAGATAGTCCACTTTCTTCTTTTTATTTTTGCATTACAATTAATTCTTAAATTTTCTATTATACCCTTGTTAAATTTTATCTTATTCTCAATAACCTTCATTAGTTCTTACTTATCATTAATTCTTAAATTGTGTTATTTAAGATGAGTATAATAGGAAAGTTATAGAATAAAATTATCATTTAACCATAATAATTGCTACTTTCTTCTTAATGTGTGTGAAAATAGAAAGTGTACTATCTTTTTTGAACGGATGGAGTAGTAAATAAGTGGGAGTAAATAGTAATATTATACTAAATGTGAATGACTAAATAATTAAATATTACAGGATATTTAGATTGTATTTGGCAATAATTTTTAAGTAGATTTTATCTTGTTGACCGGTTATTTAAGTAGATTTTACAGGTTATCTTTGTATAGTGTTGGGTAACATAACGTTTGAATTAGCTTTTAAAAATTAATGTAACATTTTATAAAGGCTTTATTCGGCAAAATTAGTTGTTGGCTGTTTTAGTAAAGTTTAGTTTTAGTTGTTTGAGTAGTTTTTCATAAAACACTAAAAGTTACACTTTACATGAGTTAATTTTTTATAAAATGTTATATTAACCTCTAATAATTAGTTTAAATGCTATATTATCGAACACTATATATCATTTTTACTGTTCAAAACACTAAAAGCTACTTCAAAAGTTGTTTTCGTAACACAGTAAAAAAATTAAACCATATAATATTTAGCATTTAGTGGTTTGTGAAAAGCTACGTAAAACGATTACTTTTAAACTAATTAAGAATATAAATTTATGAAATATTTAAAAATTCAATCGAAAATACAAATGGCTCATCAAGGAGATCTATACATGCAGGGTGCTGAGGAATTGCTCAATCAATGGCACAATTCCTTCTTATATTGCTAAATGGCCTGAATTGACGGTTCTGTAAGTATTATTCTAATCAGTGTTCTTGTTTTATTAGGGAATCCAATTTTCTTATTTAGTTAAGCAAAAAATATATTGATAAATGGTCTAAAAATGACAGAACTGTAACTGCTATTTAACTGTAACTTCTTTCCCTACAATTTTTAATCTATTCTTTAAATTCCTAACTGTACTATTTTCCTATGTTCAACTAGTAAAATTCATTTTCTACATATATGAATTTTTACTTCTATTAAATTTCTTCATTCTATCAAAAAGGATTTGCACATGTTTTTGCATAACTATCTAGATAACAAAATTTTTTAAGTAAAATCACCATAACGGTGACAATGATAAATCAGAAACAGTAAAAAACAACCCCATTTAAGAGCAAAATCCCAAGGTACATGCAACAATCATCCTAAAATATAGGCAATAATAACCAAGATCTATGTCAAAGGACAGAATACCTGGATTATTCAGAAAAATAAAATAAAAGGAAAACTGGACCAGTGAGAACTCGTCGTTGGCCGTTCATGAAAGAAAAAAAAAAAGGACTTTTAGATTTTCAAGAGAGAGGCTTTATGTAAAAAAACGTAATCGTCTATTATTTCTAATTTTAATTTTAGTGAAAGCAAGTTTTATTTAATTAATGTTCGTCTATTATTTCTAATTTTAATTTTAGTGAAAGCAAGTTTTATTTAATTAATGTTTGATGTTTCCTTCTTGCAGTGATTTGAGTTTCAACAACTTAACTGGTGAAATCCAAGAGTTTGGTACAGGAACGATGTATGTGAGATATTTTCTCTCCTAATATTGTTTAATCACAATCAATCATGCAAATGAATAATTTACATTGTGTATATAGATTCCATATGATAGATAATAATTAAATTACTATACACAATTTATATAGTAATTATAATATTATTCTTTTGTTTTCATTACAATAATATTCAAAGTTGAAATATGTCTAATGGGTTCAATTTTTTTTTTTTTTTTTTTTTTTTTTTTATGTTAGATTTTTATCAAGAAATAAGTTTAATGGGAAAATTTCCTCGGTGGATCAGTAAGCAATCACCACAGCTTTATCGACCACTTGAAACTGTAAGTACATAAAATATATATTATATATATATATATAAAGCGCGTGCACACTGAATCTTAATTTATTATATATATATATATATATATATAAAAGCGCGTGCACAGCTGAATCTTAATTTATTGAATTTGGGCTATTCAAGAATATACTCGATAGCATGTCTCGGTATGAATCAGCATTAAGGTGTTCTTAGCCACATTCATGTCCAATTAATTTTCTTTGTTCATTGGGGAATATATGATGTAGTTCTTCGACTTTGATAAATAAATATTGCGACATTTTGAATTTTAAAATAGGGTTCCTCTCAATTTCATTTTTTATAATAATTAAATACCCTCTCACACTAGCAACAGTAATTTTAAGGTTTTTATTTTTTTTACATGTAAAATACTAATTTGATATGTGGTTAATATAATCATTGGAATAATAATTTTCACTTTTTTTTTAATTATTTAATAAAATATTTAATCAATCTAATTTTATAAGTTGATGTGTTCAATAGATAAAATTAAAGTGTTTAATACGTACATTTTTATAAGTCAAAGTGTATAATGCATCAAAATAAAAATTAACACAGTAATTTAATCTTTATATATATTTGTATGTGGAGTTAGCAAATAATTCCATTTTGTCTTGCAGTGATCTTTCGCACAATGATTTCACAAATATGCCAAACCATGAAAATGGAACACTTCAACCTTCGTCAAATACGATTATCATGTAAATTGGAAACATATTTCACATTATCTGTTGTTTGGAGCATTGTAAATTGTTTCAAAACTCACCTTGCTTTTTTGCTTACTACTTGCATATTGTTGATGGCTATTCAGTGAGCCAACGAGGTATGCTTGCTTTTACATCTTTAATTTTATGTAATGAATCTTGAATTATATGTGTCTAATTACAATTTACACATTTATTTATCTTTCAGCGAGTACATATCTCAGAAAGCGAAAAAATGTCATAAAAAAAGTAAGTTTACTATCCGCAACTTATAGAATTTAGTGAGAATTTTTTTTATGTATTAAGAATATATTTAATTGCTTGTAGAAATAAAAAAAAAAAAGGTTAAAATTGTGATCGACAACAGTTTTAAATAGCTAATGAAACACTAAACGCCGTAATTTTTGCTCTTAGCAAAGTTATTCAAACAGTTAAATGCTACTAAAATAGCCAACAAGTTAATTTTGCTAAATAGACTCTAAATAAAAACTTTTAAATATAGAGATTACTAATAAATGTTTGTTGCAGCTCACTCCCTGTCTATAAACTGTGGTGGTGACCAAGTGAAGTTTGACAAGCAAAATTATGAAAATGATACTGCAATATCAAACTTTTATGAAAGTCCTGATGGAAATTGGGCTTATAGCTTTTCTGGAGACTTCATCACCCCGACGACCATCACTGCAAATGGTTACATAGAGAACTTAACATGTGGAGTTTCCGTTCCTGAGGGAGACCTATACGTCAATGCTCGTGTTGCTCCTATCTCCCTCACCTATTATGCCTTCTGCTTGCGTAAAGGCAAATACAATATCAAGCTCTTTTTCGCTGAAACTTCATTTTCCAAAAAGGAAGATCACAGTATTCTGAGGAAACGCATTTTTGATGTACATATTCAGGTAATTTGCCTAATTGTTTCTAAAGGGGATTCTTTTTAATGGTTAGAACTTGTTATAATGCTCTTGTAACGATTAAAGTATTACTCTTGACTAATTTTTGAGTTCTTGATTTTAATTACAGGGAAAGGAAGTATTACAGGATTTCAACATACAGAAAGAGGCTAAAGGAGCTAAGTATAAGAACATTATGAAAAGTTTCACGGCTACAATACCTGACCACAAACCATTGCAGATAGACTTCTTCTGGGCTGGTAGGGGATCTCTAGATGATAATGGACCTCTCGTTTCAGCTATTTCCATAACGCGTGGTATAATGTTGAACATTTTATTGCTTCAGTGTGATCGCAACATTTTAGTTTTTTTCACTTCATAATGGCTACTGCATTTTGGGTTTTGAAGCTCCAAGAAAATTAAAAGCTTGGGAAATAGTTGCAATTGCGGCAGCTTGCGTCCTTTTTCTGTTCCTTTTGTTAGCTTTCCTGTGGAGAATGGGATGGATAGGAGACAGAAAGTTGCACAGTAAGAGCATGCATCCCCTAATAATTTTTATAAACACACGCACATACACTATGACTTCTTTGATTTGATGTTTGAAATTGGAACACAGAAACACGTATAAAGCTTTCGGACGAACAGGCTTATAGTGTTAAAGAAATAATTAATGCCACTCAAAAGTTCAGCCCAAAAACACAGATTGGCAAGGATGGTCGTTTTGGAATAGTCTACAAGGTTGAAATCTTTTATCTTGTTTTTTTTTTTTGGCGTTAATTATAGTTCTTTATGTTTTTCTCCTTCCACTGCTCTATTTGCAGGCTATACTGCCAAATTTGACAGTAGCAGTGAAGAAGCTTTTTCCTCAATCAAAGGCAGCTGCTGAAATAACAACAGAAGTTTTTGCATTGTCTAAGTTAGAAAATCAGAATCTTGTTAAATTACTGGGTTCTTATTCAAAAAGAGGCTTGCATTTGCTAATTTATGAATATATGGAAAAAGGATCCCTTGAGGAAGTCTTATTTGGTACGTTATTTTCTTTTATCCCAGGAGCTCACTGATCTTATATCCATTTTATAACTTATTAAGTATTTATATGCAGATGCTAATTATTCAAAAAGAAGAGGCTTTGCATTTGCTAATTTAAATGAATATATGGAAAAGGATCCCTTTTGAGGAAAGGTCTATTTGTACGTATTCTTTCTTTTAATCCCAGGAGCTCACTGAATCTTATATCCCATTGTTTAAGTGAATGTATTAAGTATTATAATGCAGTATGCATTTGCTAATTTATGAATATATGGAAAAAGGATCCCTTGAGGAAGTCTTATTTGGTACGTTATTTTCTTTTATCCCAGGAGCTCACTGATCTTATATCCATTTTATAACTTATTAAGTATTTATATGCAGATGCTAATCGTTCGACACAACTTAGTTGGGAAAAAAGATACAAAATATGTGAACAAATAGCCCTAGGTTTGGAGTTTTTACATACAAGGGAGCCGCCCGTGATCCATAGAAATATCAAGGCCAGTAATATTCTGCTTGATAGAGATTATAATGCTAAAATCTCAGACTTTGGATTGGCAAAGCTTTATGAGGAAGATGATCCATTTATGTTCACTAAAGATCCCAGAAATACACTGTAAGTACAGGAACAACAAAAATTTCTTCACTATTGTTTTGTAGACAACAACAAAAAAAAGGGGATAATTTGTTATTGTTACGTGCAGGAAGTACATGGCACCTGAGTATGCATCTCAGAAGAACATAACAGTGAAAGTTGATGTGTATAGCTTTGGCCTTCTGCTACTTGAAATCATTAGTGGGAAAGAGATTGACAAAAACCTTGGAGATCCTGACACTAGTATTTATCTTTTGGAAAAGGTAATGAATGCAAACTTATTTTTCTTTATTTATTTAATTAGTTCTTTTATAAGGTGAACATACTTGAACGATGACGCTTAGGCACTGTTTTACAACAGATTTTTAGATAGAGTAAGGTCTTAGTTTGGGTGTATTGGGAAAGTCTATTGACTGGGTTAGATTCTTGAATTAGTTAAACTTTTTCCCAGTTTTCTCTTTTCTCATAAAATTAAGAAATTTATTTGCTGATAAAAAAAATAGCGTCGACAATAAATATTTAGATAGCTTTTAGTGTTTTGATTAGTAAAAAAAATAAACGCTATTGTTTGTAGTATTCGGTAACATAGCGTTTGAATTAATTTTTAGATATTAAGGTAGCATTTTATGAAAAGAAATAATCCATGTAACGTTTACTTTTAGAATTTTATGAAAAGACATCTAACAATTATCAAAACAGCTAATTTTATCGAAAAGACCCTTAGGATGTTAGATGTTATAGTATCAGTTAATTATTCTATTAGCTGTTAGATGTTTTATGAGCTATTGGCTATTATTATTAGATGGTAGCTGCTTATATTATTTAACGGTTTAAATTAGAAGTGTTTGATAAAACAGTGATTTAATTAAATGTTTAATTTAAATTGACAGAAAAAGGCATTAGATGTTTAATTAGCTGAATTTTGGAGAAAAAGCCAATGAGTACCATAGTCAAAAAAAAATTAATTAATATACGTAAAACCTAAATATTAAAATATTTGACATTTTATAAAAAACTTTTTCAATTTTTAAAATTTATTATAAAAGCTATTATTGAACGGTACAATTAATCGAAATAAAATTTTAATTTAGTGAAACCCGCTCAAAGGCCGAACAGGGCCTTAAACTCACTTGCAAAACTGTTTAAATGTAGGCCGACAAATGTCGCAAGCAAAAAATGTACGAACAATTAATTGATGAAACATTGAAAGAGCGTCCATCAGGGAGAGTATCATCAACAACGCTACATCAAGCCATTACCATCATTGAGTTGGCAATGCTGTGCACCGATTGGCCTTCTATTCGACCCCCAATATCAGATGTAGTGAGCGTGCTTCAGGGTAAAATAACCGTTGAGAATATGACAAAGGTTTAATTTCACACTTGGAATTTAATTTTGGACTGTATTTTCATTTATTATTATGGTGGTGTTTTTTTTTTCTGTTTTTGGAGAGTTTTATATGTATTTTTAAAGAATGTAACGGTTTGATTAGATGGCCTATTTTGTGATATTTTTACTATTTACTAGTCTATCTATATTTTTATTTATTTTCATTCATAGAAAGCCCAAATCAAGGTTTGATATGAAACATTCCAAGCTGCTCCTATTTCAAGGAATTATTATTATACAATTTTTAATATCTTTAAGGGTACGTACGAAAAAATAAGAAAAAAAAATTTATATCCAAACTAATTTAATTAACTATTCTTAAATTGTTTGAGAAATATTTGAGATGGAGGGAATAATTTTTTACAGTAAATAATTAATTTCGCTATTAAGTATATATATATATATATATTGCATATATATCTATATGATGTTTGTTATAGTTGAGATATAATTCCAACATAAATCATATATTTTTACTACCTCACGTTTGTAATTTCACGTTTCTTAATAAAACCATTAAATTTGTCTAAATTACAATAAATTATTGAGTTAATTGACTATATTACCCTTAATTTAATATTAATTCTCTAAGAAAATCATTAAGAATTATTGGTTATATATAAAGGGTAAATATGGAAAAAAAATATTTATTACAACTTGAAACCACAAATGTGATAAGTATTACGGAATAGAGGTAGTTTTAATCTTCAAATATCCAAATAATTTGTGGTATGAGTTGAGATGGTAAAAATACCTGACTCCTTTATCACGACCCGTTTCCGTGGGCCGAACCGGCACTAGGATCTAGACGGGCTTAAGGCCTCCGAGGCCCATAGTAAGCCTATCTTAATTAACCCATATTCTATTTATAATCGTGGCTTCAGGCCCAATAACTTATTTCACCAATATATCAAAATTACAATTCATATAATTAATATATGTACTCTTATTATTCAATTACAATCCATTTAAAAAAATGGATATTCAACCCATTCTCATCCAATTTTAGCAGATTTGAATAGTATGTAAAATTATAAATGGATTCAGGTAATGGTTTATTTTCTACGATTTCATTCTGATTTTATGTATAAACTAAAGTAGGATTTGTTCTAGTGTTAGGATTATAACTATATATTAGCTTCGATATGGATATAAATGACTTGTTTTCTTTATTAACGCGTATTTATAATTTTGACTGATCAATACTTAGATACTTAATACTATGAATATGTGGTCAAATAATATCAAGTGAATTGAGTTCTGGACCATTGGTGAAGTTTTTGTAAAATCACTTAAACCCTAGTATTTAAAGAAAGGAAAGAGGATTTTGCTTCAAGTGCGTTGCGTATTTACAAGAGGTCAGTAATTTTCTGGACAAAACATGAATTAAAATGTTTGATTCTTTTTTCAAACATTTCGCTTTTATTGTTAATTTAGGAAATATTGTTAATTTAGGAAAATCGTGAATAACCATATTAAGCTAATGCTGATATAACTCTCAACACTAGGCCTTTAGATTATATTAGTCTTATATTTTGTTAGTTGTTTATTTCTATTTTTATGCTAATTGTTTAGTTTATTCAAATCATAACAATTTAATAATCAACGATTCAATTTTTACGAAGGTGATAATTTTTCTATACTATTTGTATGACTGTGCACTTATGGAGCACGTCATTGCGACCAATTAGCTTTTCGAAAAATATGAGAAGCATGGATGGACTAATTCAAAGAAAAGAACTATCAAATTAACAAAACAAAAGCCAAACAGCAACAGGACACCATTAATGATATTTAGTACATACAACTAAAAAATTATCATTTTCTACCTGAACCTTGGTGTAACCTTGTGAGTAAGCCAATTTGAGACCTTCAAAGATGGCCATAATTCAGAAGCTAAAACAGTAATCTCACTAATCCCGAACAAAAACAACCAAGTGAATGTCCAAAGCTACATTCCCTTTATTCTTCTACTTTCCGTCTTCTCTTTTACTTTTTCGTCTCTTTCCACCCGACACTTGTTCTTCGTCCACTATATAGACGACCACCTTCATTTTGTTTTTCAAACCCTTCTTCTTTTCTACTAATGCAGAGACTTACACTTCTTTTTTTTCCCTTCCCCCCGAGAAATAGTACCACAACCATTAACAAAAGTTTCCATTGTTTTTTTTCTTATTTTCTTTCGTTTCTCCTGTATATCCATGACGAAAAAATTTTAATTATTTCAATTATTATTCGAAAAAAAAATCTATTTTAGTAGCAGTTAGTTATTAGCTATTAGTTGTTTAACTAGTTATTAACTATTAGTTGTTTAACAAAAAAGTAAATTAATTATTTAAGTAGCTGAATTAAGAGAAAAAAAACAATGGATATAATTATCAAAAAATTTAATTAAAAGTTAAACACTAAACATTAGAGTATTTAATGTTTCATAAAAAGATCTTTTAACCTCTAAAAGTTTATTATAAAAGCTATGTTACGGCTATAATTAATAAACATAGAATTTTGACTTAGTCAAATGCTAAAATCTAGCTTAAAAAATGTTATCGAATATACATTTAGACAAAGGCACTGAACATATATACAGGGCCGGAAACTAGATGGAAGGATGGCAGCCACAGCTCAACAAGAAATTTTTTTTTTTTTAAAAAAAAAAAAATCCTAGTGAGAAATTATAATTACTTGTTAGTAAACTTGTCCTATTTTTCTTGATGTTGGGAAACCAGCGACGGCGCATCTGGTCCCATGTTGTTTTCTTTTTGTCTTTCTAAAACTTGTATATATTATCATTTCAAAACAGGTGAACGAGTGAATTCCTTACAGCATAGCATATATATTTTATCAACTACAACTAAATATTATATTTTACCAACTACAACTGCAGTCATCAAAAAATTATACCTTTAACGAGCATTTTATATTTTATCAACTATAACTACAGTTATTAAAATTTTACTAAATATTATTTTTTATCAACTAACTGTATGAAGGAATTGAAGTGATTAATTATAAAGTCTAAGAGTACAACTTATATAGATACAGAGTCCTAAACTAAGTATACAGAAGTGATAAAAATAGACCTAAACAGAAAGATAACAACAGATACAATTATTAAAGAGTACAACTTATATAGATACAGAGTCCTAAACTAAGTATACAGAAGTGATAAAAATAGACCTAAACAGAAAGATAACAACAGATACAATTATTAGAAAACAGTTACAAGGAAGACTTATCTCCTTTATCCTCTATACGCCCCCGCAAGATGGAGGTTCCATCGGAAACTCCAATCCTGGATCGAAAATGTAAGAATGGGTGTTTGCAGAGTGCTTTTGTTAACATATCAGCAATTTGACTTTTCGAGCTGATATGCAAAACTTGTAGAAGACCAGTTGTAACTCTCTCACGAACAAAATGGTAATCCAATGCCAAATGTTTCATTCTTGTATGATAGATTGGATTAGCACAGAAGTAAGTTGCTCCAGTATTGTCACAAAGAATAGTTGGTGTGCCTTTTAGCTTTTGTCCTAACTCTGTCATTAAATTCTGCACCCAAACAACTTCAGCAGCCGCATTGGCTATTAAATTCTGCACCCAAACAACTTCAGCAGCCGCATTGGCTAAGGCCTTGTATTCTGCCTCTGTCGACGAACGGGATACCGATTTCTGGCGTGCAGACCTCCAAGAAATAACATTGGAGCCAAGATATAAAACATAAGCTGTGGTTGATCGACATTGATCTAGTTGTCCACCCCAATCAGAGTCAGAGAAGGCCTTTAAAGTGAAGTCAGAATTGCGATTAAGAGTCAGACCATGATAAATTGTGCCCTTCAAATACCGCAATACATGTTTCAAACCTTGAAGATGTACATGGGTCGGCTTATGCATAATTTGGGATAATTTGTTGACAGCGAAGGAAACATTCGGGCGCGTCATAGCCAAATATTGCAGCGATCCAACCATTTGACGGTAAAGTGTCGCATCGGCAGAAGAAGAACCATCGTTGAGAACAAATTTTTCTGAAACAGACATGGGAGTGACGGCAACTTTAGCACCAGCCATATCAAATTTGCGAAGCAGGTCTGCAATATATCGATGCTGGGATAAAAATAACATCCATACACAACATCCAGACCACCGTAATCAGAATACCCTTGAAGAGAGGAGGGACTCGATGCTACATGATGGGATGCTCCTGTATCAAACAGCCACGGTTGAGAATTCATTGCCATTGTAGTGTTAACAGCAGGTACAGAGGACACACCAACATTACTGTGCTGAACTGAAATATTATTCTCTTTCAGAAAATGAGCCAGCTTTCGACATTCAGCAGTACTATGTCCTGCAATTTCACAAAATTGACAAACAACACCTTGCCGATAGTTGCCTCTAGTCTAATTTGATTTCTGATTATAACCTCCACGATTATTATAGCCTCCACGATTGCGTCTGTAATTAGAATTATACCCCTGATTCTGTCGTGAAAAGTATCCCTGATTCACGTTGTTCCCATCAGAACCAGCATCCCTGATTCACGTTGTTCCCATCAGAACCAACATTTTGCGACTTAGTAGTGGACTTCTGAGTGACATGAACTGTTGCAATATTAGAGCTAGCATCCTCTTTCCCTTTTAGTGATCGCTCAAAATCAGTTAGTTTTTCAAACAAATCAGAAAACAAAATTGAAGTTTCACGCACTTTAAGAGCAGCAACAATTGGGGCAAATTCATCTCCCAATTGAGCAATGATGTGCACAATCAAATCTTCATCACTAATAGGGTTTTGAGTAAGAGCCAATTCATCAGCCATGGCTCGCATTTCATTCAGAAAAACAGATACCTGTTTGGTGCCTTTGGAGTTTGAAGGGAGTTTGAAGCCAAATTTGGTCTTCAGAGAAAGAATCCTCGATCGTAGGTATTGCATAACTTTGGGAAAATCGATCCCAGACATCTTTTCGCCGATTCTGCCTGACGATATTAGTGGCATTGATTCAAATGCAGCTGCCCAAAAAGAGCGCTTTAAAAGATGTGTGATCTGCCGATACCAGATAGTATAATCTGGGTTTGGTTTATTGGTCAGTCGCTGCTGACGCGCTGGAAGTAGAGCATGCAATATATAACCCCAGTAACCCTAAGCCGATTAAAGGTGGTATTGAACTTGCTTC